GTGCTGCCTCAGCCACCATCCTGTAGGTGCAGGAGATCGTCTTCAGGAACTTCTACACAGCCTTCCTGAGCGTGCGGGTGCAGCGCCCTGGCCCTGCCGGCTCCCGCCGCTGGGTGACCTGCCTGCGGGACTTCTGCCTGATGCCCTGCCCGCACACCGAGGAGGGCTCTCAGGACTACTTCTCCCTCCACCGCCACCAGGCTGGCATGGCCAGACAGTGGCCCTGGCATTGCCCAAGCCGCTGGGGCTCACCCCTCTTTGCTGCCCCAGGACAGCTCCTGGTCCCTGGGGTCCTGCACCAATACCCCACCATGCCCCCCTAGCGGCAGCAGGCTGGCATGCACAGTGCCTCTCCTTTTCCTTCAGATGCTGTGTGACGTGGACCAGGTGACGGCAGTGCGGTTCATCCTGCGGCAGCCCTCCCCAGTCTGGCTCCACTTCACCATCGAGGAGCTGCAGATTTTCCCCCCTGGACAGAAGGTGAGTGCGTGCCAGTGTTGCCCTCCCTGCCCAGTGCAGCTCCAGGGGCTTCAGGCTCCCTCTGGAGGCTGCAGGGATGTGGGTCCAAGTCCTTGTCCCTTGCTGGGGGCCGGGGGCGAACTGCTCCAGCCAGCCCCAGCCCTGCCTGTTTTGGAGGTGGGTGTTTGTCTGAGCAGCAGGACATAGCTGGAGGTTGTGGCAACAAATTACGGGTTGCAAACACCCACGCTAACCACAAAATTCCCGTGAATAACGGTAAAGCGATACTTACACCCATACCAAGATAAATACAGGTGGGCTCCAAACTACAGCACGCTGCATGGTGTGAGGGATGGAGGTGGGACTGGCAACATCCCTTGTGTGACCCTTCTGGATCTGTTTCAGAGCCCCCAGAAGGATTTCCCCTCCTGGCTCTCCCAGCTGAGCCCTCCGGAGCAGCCAGCCAGCCTGCACGGGGTGAGTAGTCCCTGCTGAGGTATTATGGGGAAGGAGGGCCCTGGATGGGGTGCACAAAGTCGCGAGACTGCTGGCCCCATCAGCTCCAGGCTCCCACTGGGAATAGCTGTGGAGCCCCAAAATGCCCCGCCTTGTGCTGGAAGTAGTTTGCAGCATTCAGAAGAAAAATATCTCCACGGGGATATGTGATCTGAGGCAATGCTTACATCTACCTGCCCTCTAGTATGGGGAGAGGAACGTCCCTGTGGGAGCGGTGGGTGCGCAGCATTGCTCAGACAGCTGGCAGGACACATGGGGACAGGGTGGTCCTGGCCACTGGTCCTCGGCGCTTTGCAGAGGGTGTGCACTGGGGAGCGCGTCGCCCAGCTGGCGCAGCATGCAGGCAGAGGGAGGTCACAGCCATGGCGCATGTTTACAGCTTGTGAGCCACATCTGCCTGGCCAGCGGCCTTTGGTGAGCAAAGTCCAGACAGAGCACAGCAGGGGCAGGCAGCCGGCTCGCCCGCGGAAACCTGCTGTATCAGCCCAGCAGCAGGCTGGGGCAGGAGTGGTGCCATGTGCCCCAGCACCTCTGGGGCAGTTCTGCCACCACTGGACTTCGGTGCTGGGGGCACCTTTGAGGCTTCTGCCAGCCCTGGCAGGTGTGGGAGCTCCAGTCTGTCCATGGGGATCCAGCAGCCTGGGGAGGACACCCCAGTCTCTTGCTGATTTCTTGGATCACATCCTCCTTGGCAAGGGGTGATCCGGGGGAGATGCCGGGAGTTGCTCTTGGCTTGGCTGTTCCCAGTATCACCACGAGGCACCCACCAGTGGCCCGGTGCCCACGGGCAGGGCTGGGCGGGGGAGAGGCGGCGCAAGAGCTTTGCCCTGCCCTGGAGAGCTGCCGCTGAGCCTGTGAGTCCCACCTGACTAAAGGTCCCAGGGGAACCAGTGCCCGCAGCGGGGTTTGTGTTGCCAGGCCCCGGGGAGTGCCCTGGAGGGAGGCTGTTGGGAAACTCTGGACTGTGCGATTAGGTTTTTAATCATTAGCCAGCAATCTGCTTTCTGTCCTTGCCGTGGATGCCCGCCAGCAGAGTTGGGCTGTTGGTGCCGGGGCTCAGGGTCACCCATTTCCCCAGCTGACTGTTTTCCTAGAGCGGGGCCCTGCTCACCCTGTGTTGGGAAACCACCGGCAGGTCAGGAATGTGGGCACCATTGTGATAGTGCCTGGCTCTCTGGGGGGCACCGCCATCTGGCCATACTGCTGCCCGAGCCTGGGGCGATCCGGCCCATCCCCCCTCTGCAGCATTGTGCCCACTTCTTTCCAGGAGCTCCCTGACCCAGAGAAGGTGTCTACAGAGGTTCAGCAAATGTGGGTGCTGACGGAGGTGATCCGGGCGCGCCAGGCAGCTGCCCGCATCGGGCGCTTTGACGTGAGTCCCGCCACCCTGCTCACGGGGGCTCCGGCCTCGCTGCATCTCAGGATGGGGAGGGGGCTTGGGGTGGGGGGTCCCAGCAGCGCGATGGGTGCTGTGCAGGGACTGATGCTTTTCCTCTTTTCCAGGTGGATGGCTGCTATGATATCAACCTGCTTTCCTACACGTGAGCCCTGCTGGTGCTGGCCAGAGGGAGCCAGCTCCTCTGCACTCTGGGGACTCAAGCGGACTCCTGTGCTCCTGCACCAGCCCTGGGGGGGTTTCCAGGCCCTCCCTTCGCCCCTTCCCCAACTCCTGCTGCGCTGGCTGGCAGTGGTGGGTAGTGCTGCCACCCCACAGCCCCCTGGGACCTTCTCCCACCCCGATGCCCTCCAGC